CACAAGTGGCATGGGCAGTCTCTGTGTGGTGCATGGCAGACTGGGAAGGGGGCAGGCAGCACCGAAGGAACAGGGCAAGAAGCAGAAAGTGATTGGGAGGGAGCACAGGGCAGGAAACAGAAAACAGATCAGGGAGGGGAAGGGGATCAGAGTGGCACTCGGGAAGGGTGCAGGGCCAGTTTGTGGCCCCCACTGCCCTAAGACTTAAATCTCTGGGACTGATTCTTTCCTTTCATATACCAGTATTAAACAGGAATGAGAACTCAAGTCAATGGAGTTTACTCAACAGCAAACCAGTTTAAGGTGCTGCCGCTGCTGAAAACTGCTTAGGGCGTACTGCACTTCCCAGTTCTGCAATGACAGTGACTTCTAGAGGCCATTCAAAAGCCATGAACAATGCTGTGTACTCTTGATCACCGTCTACTGGCACGTCCTTTAACAGTATTTACATTTACACAGCGTAGAGAGCTTTCGTAATGGTCCCAACTCCCACTGAGAATTGTTTTATTGGCTTCAAAGGAAACTGGATCCGGCCCTAAGTAAGAGCAGAGTCCTAGGAATACCACGAAGCAGAGAGATACGGAAAAGTGAAAAGCAATTGAACAACAAATGGTTAATCTAATTTTTTAGTAAATGTCTGAGTTTTGTGCTGACGCTGATGCGTTGATCTTTTGGAATCCGATTGGATCTTTTGGAATGTGAATCCAATTCTATCCAATCCAAAGTCTGGCCCTTTTATCACAGACTTCCAATTGGCTGTGAAGAGGTTGAGGGACAACTTCAATGGCTGGTGCTTGGACTCTTGCTAACTCTAGAACAAATTTAGCTTAGGAAGTCCTGAATTTGCTGGAAAAAAAAGTTAATGAAAATACAAACTGTTGCTTAGAAAAAGATGGAACTGATCCTTCTCAGTCAAGTGGCAGCTGATGTCATTGAAATGAAGAAAAATATTTTGTTAAATCTCTCCCTGATATCACCACATTTGTTAAAGCCAAAGTGGGAGACTGTCATTCTGTTACTAGCAGCTTTGACGTTGCCGGTAGCTTAAGCTGCACAATTCAGAAAATACCAGACAACCTAAAAATTAGATCTTCCCAGCTGGTTTATGCCCGTTATAATTACAAAGATTACTTGCAAAGTTCAGATTCCATTTCTGACTGGCCCAAACAGCGACGCATGATTATGGGTCAGGCCTGTTCTGGCTGGGGAACAAAACAGGGATATTTTTTCCAGGCCTGAGTTCATTGGCATGAGGAGTTCACTTTTATCTTATCACCAAGAGTATATGCAAACATAAGTAAAGAAGGGTGAGTTTCTTCAGTCCTTGTCTGCTGTAAGAAATCAACACAGGCACATTTTGAAATTTTGTATCAGGACTAGAAGGGGCAAAGACTCTTTCTTTAAATAGAAACTGAAGTTGATGTCTCCTCGTTTTGTTTCCTTGTTTTTCTGCTTTAGAAGGGTCTAAGTTGCAGAATGCCGGGCGCAAGCAATCAGTCTCTAGGAGCCTGAAGCATCTTTTCCACTCTTCAAACAAGTTTGTGAAGACATTGAAACGGTTTGTTCACTGATTTCACTTCTAAAATATGCCGAGTTTGGCTAAAAATTGATGTCTGGATCCAAACGCGATTGGCATCTTTGACATGAGATCACACAGCCTCTCCTCTGATTTAAATGGCAGGACATCAGAAATAACTGTGATAAGGTTACATGGGTGGAAAACTGGTATGTCTGATGGAAACTGAAGCTCCTTGAGCCAGATCCAGCTCCTGTGGGAGTCAATAGAAATCTTTCCACTGTTATCAGTGGGAGCTGGCTTGAAATTGTCACCCTTTATGCAAAAATACAGTATAGGAGGACTGTGCGAAGCTTCGGGTGCTGATTTCAATTTGGAGGAGGTTCGGCCTGATTCGGTGGCCGAATCTCCAAATCCTAATCATATCAGGGGGCCAATTTAAAGGTCCGAATCGATTCAAAGCTCTCTGAATCTTAAAGATTTGGAGAGCTTTGATGATTTGGGCAGTCCCCAGTGGCAGCAGCTGACTCTGACCTGGTAAGTACTAGGAGTGGGGGAGAGGGGAGGGGACCGTGGGGGGACCCCTGCCAGCCCCCCCAACCGCCCTGCTCCCCCAGCCCCCCTTACTCCCACTCCCCTGAATCTCTGAATCAGATTCGGCTGAATCGATTCGGGACAGTGATTCGAATCGCCAAATCGAATCACTATCCCCCAAATTGTCCAAATCCAAACGAACACCAGCTACTTTGCATAGGCCTACAGTATAGTAATTTTAATATTCTTGAAACTCTGGTGCTGCTGCTCATGAAAGGGATTTCATAATTGGGAACATAAAATTGAGGCCTCCCACAACCTGTTTACATATATGTTGAATGCCCTGTCAGCAGCAAGCAACCCACCTGAGAAGTCCCAAGTACTTCAGGTTAGTTCTGCAACCTGGCATGACTCGGGCAGCTCTAAGCCACGATGGTTTGGTTTCAGCCAGTGGAAGTTAGCCACACTGGATTAATTCTTCTTTCATTACAAGAGCACTTAGTTTGCTTTTCCTTCTTTGTATTTTGATAAGAATTTGAAAAAAGAACAAACCCTCCAGGATCTTCCATTCCTCTGCAGTGACTGGCGAATGAGTGTAACTAAGTGTGAGCATAAATCCTGAGAGGAATCCTTTCTCTAAACCTTTTTTTCAGATCCGGTGTGCAAATCATGTGGTTACAGGGTTACATAATTATCCTGTCAGTTTCTCCAGATTTATACAACAGCAGAACCCCATTGTTGTTATAAAATACTAGCAAATATTCTGATCTAAAATGATGTAATGATCCCAACCGGGCAAAATTGATCTGGTTTTACATGGGCAGGGAGTGCATGATCAGATCCATAGATAACTGTGTTGTAGCAGTCTCTAACCATTTGCAATGACAAACATTTTGCCTGAATCAGTCGGGGAAGTTCAGTGCTTTGATTATGCAGCAGGTCCAATCAGATGATCAAAATCATCCGTTTATGACCTTACAGACTACTCTGTTTTGCATATCCGGGGCATTTGGTTCGTATCACTGTGAGAGATCTCTAATTATATTTCTTTTTTCCTTGTAGGGGGCTCTACTTAGCTGTTATATTTTATTACAAAGACAACCTGTTAGTAACCAATGAAGATCAAATCCCAATTGTGGAAATTGATGACTCTCATACTAGTTCCATTATGCATGATTTTCTGTGGTTCACCAAGGTAACAGGAACCTAATTTCATATGTGTTTTCCCACTGTCATGTACTAGAAGTTGCAGAGATGTTGGATGTTTGTTACCAGAACACGAGCTAAGTGATCACAGAATCATAGAAAAGTAGGGCTGGAAGGGACTTCCAGGCTAAGTACAGACAGTTAAAAAACTTGAGGCTGAGTCAATTCAGTCTTTGCAGGTTAGTCTAAGTTTCAGAGATTAAACTGAGAAACAACGGGACACACATTTACCTTTGATTCAGGAAATGCAGTCACATGCCTGCAGTGGCTCAGGCCAGAAGCTGGGGGGCACTAGAGCACAGCTCTCTGACATATGGCCAGCATGGGCTGTGTTTGCTTCCTCTTCCTGCTGCCCCAAGGTCTCTGGGATGTGCAGTCCAGAATCACAGCAGCAGGACTCTGCAGGGCTGCTCATCACTTCCTCTTCCTGCTTCCAGGTGCCTCTTGGATTTCTAATCCACAGTTGCAGCCAGCAGTAACTTTCAGTAAGTTTAGCAGGGCAGGGAAGCTCTGTATTTGAGGGAAGCCGGGTTTAACCCTCCTTCCTACACCAGACCGCAGCCAGGACTTGCCTGTAAGGGGCAGTCCCTGCCTTCCGCCCTGGTGCCCCCCTGCAAGTGTTGGCTGATTGCTGCACCTGCTCCCAGAAGCAGATGTAGCCATTCCCAGAAGTTCAGCAGGATCGGCCATGGGGGCACCCCCCCACAGTTGGCAGGATAAGCCGCAGAGGGACTCCCCCTCCCAGTCAGTGGGATAGGTCACGGGGAGGAAGGGCACATGCCCCCCCACTGCCGACTAAGGCAGCACCAGTCACCCATGCCTTCTCTGCTGGAGCAGACAGGACAGCACAGCACAGCACAGCTGAGGGCTGGATAGCATGCTTGGATGCTGGGGGACTCTGATTTAACTTAAACCAGGAAGGGGTCTGGGACAGAAGTTTCATAAACCAGTTTGATCCAAATCAGTTATGTCTGATACTACATTCAACCAGGTTTATCTTAAACCAATTTCAGCCATTTTGAAACTGGCTGATATGTACTGAACTTCTGTTCTGTTACAGGTTTAAACCACTTTCTGAAGACCTAAACTGGTTTATGTGTAACTTCTGTTCCTAACCCCAGAGGACATCTAGTCCAACCCCCTGCTTGAGGCAGGATCATTCCTATCCAAACTATCTTATACAAATTCATTGTCTAACCTGTTAGTAAATGATGATAAGTGATGATCTGTCTTATTTTTTGCTTTGGTGGGGGGTTTCCTATGATATTTTTAAGGGTTCAACCCTGCTTAACCAGTCAATCAGTGTGGAAGGCTCTAGCCACAGCAGCAGTCACTCCTTGAAAAATATCTAACCTCGCATAAACTATTTCTAGTCAGGGTTATGTGAGGGGGTTTTTGCAGGCCAGAGAAAAAGGAAAGACTAAATGAATGTTAATGGTTGATCAAAGGCTTTAAGACTTGCTATTATGGTTGTCCTAGGGGGTAAAGACATCGCTGAGCCCCAGAGGATGCTGCACAAACTTTCATGAGGATTTACAGACTAACTGAAATAAATCCATGCTGTACCTGGAATCACCTCTTTTTCTATAGCCTGATGGATTTGTACTAAACTAGATGCTTTATAAGTCTGACTAGATGCTTTATTATCACTCAGAGAAAGTCAAGGTGAAGAATATCTGGTGATTGTTTCCTAAGTGCAATCTGCTTTTCAGTCCCTTCCCCCACCAGACATACAAACAATTATGCTGGTTTTGTAAATATGGAAAGCAAAGAAGATTAAACTGTGACATGTATTTTGCAGCTGTCTTGCATGTGGGATGATATCAGGTGGCTGAGGCAGAATATGTCCATATCCGTGTCCTCGTCAACAGCACTTCAAGCCAGGCAAAAGATGCTTTCAGCAGCAGCACAGTTACAGGTTAGTTGCGCTGCATATTTTCAGCCATTAACTTTAGTGCGTTTATGGTCTCTGGGGGAAGCTGCTGCCAGCTGTCCTTTGCTTCAGCACTCCCACTAGGCCTTTTCTTTGGAGAAGCATTATTGCCTACTACAAAGCAAGCAGCTGAGCCTGTGTTGCCAGGTGGAAGGAAGGGGTTTATGTTAAAAGTAAATCTTAGGAAAAGAGAGAAA